ATTTAAAAACCACAACAAAAACGGGGAATAATACCCCCCCCAAAAAAAAAAGAAAAAAAAAAGAAACTGAACCTAAGATTTACTTTTAGAAAGAAAGTTTATTTTCACTCCTGCTTCTCTTCGTCTCTTTCGCTTGTTGACACCACGTTGATTTGTTATTAAATAAATTGTTCATGGGAAGGGTATAATAAGTACATTTCATACAATTATGTTGCTGTTTCTCTTTCATTTTTCCCTCTGTGTTGTGCTTTAATTTGTTGGTGTGTTAATTTTTTCTTTGTTATTGTTCTGATGTGTTGATTATACATTTTTTTTCTCTGTTTATATAGCATAATGTCTTTAATAAAAAATTTGATGTTGTAAACTACCTTTTTAAAAAATATACATAGGGCCTATCTTAGATCTAGAGCGTGTCTCCGCCCAAATTGAACACTGACACTGACCGACTCCTTAATATAATTGTGTGTGGTTCCTTAATTTACATGTAATATCCTTTACTTTTTTTCTTTCTTGAATTCACACATTTAGGGTTAAAACGGCCAATCTTCAGATAGGTGGACACACGCCCTTATTTGTTAATTTTTGAGCTTGTTTATGTGCTGTTCTAATTTGTATTTCATTCTGTTGTGAAACCTATATTTTTTCACGTTTTTAACTCTCGGTGTGGCTACAAATGATGTTCTGAATGCATAAGAGCATAAGAAATTCTGGTTCTTTAGATTAAGTTACTTCTATCAACACGACGGTATTGCTATATATGTCGTCAAAGAGTTGAAGGTTTGAAAATTAATGGCAACTTTTATGGCAACTTTTATGTCAATTTTTGCCACTTTTTTAGGCAACTTTTTGACAAAAAAATGGCAACAAACGCAGATGCTAGATAATCACACTAAATGTACTCGACCTTCTCACAGACTTACAGCTGCCAAAACACAAAGCTGAATTGTTGGGTTCAAGGCTCAATCGATATGCTTGCTGACTGTCTGCGTAGTATAGTGAGCATTTAGAAATCGTGACGATGATTTTCGACTTTTTTGGGGGGAAAATAATGTAGGGCAACCCAGTTGCATGTAACGATCTGGGTGATCTTGTGAATGAAGAGCTATGAACGATGAACATGGGGAACGTTTTCACCAAGATATTGGAACAATGGAAATGGGATGATAATAGGCTATATTATTGTTGGTTAGTTACAAGAAATGTACCAGAATTTAAATAAAAGTGATGAGCTAAGACAGAACAATTAGTCAAATAAGTACGTATGAAGTAACCCCCATTTTTTTGTCCTTTTTTTATCATTTGTAAAATATAATAGCCTCTCTTTCTCGCGCCCTTTTAACTTCCAGTGGAGCTTAGGCCATCAACAACATTTCTCCAGCGAAGCCTGTCCTGTGCTTCCTTTTCTAGCTGTTCCCATGATGTCCCCGCTTTTTCCATTTCCGCTTGTACCGTTCGTCTCATATTATGTCATCTTTGGTCTTCCTTTCTTTCGTTTTCCTTGTGGGTTCCACGTCAAAACCTGTCTGGTGATGCTTGTCTGGGCTCTCCTTAGGGTGTGCCCAATCCATTTCCATTTCTTAACCTGTATGTTTTTCTTTACTGGCCTTTGACTTGTTCTTTCTTACAGTTGAGCATTAATTGTGACTCGATCGTAACCACTCGATCCCCACTATCCTTCTTAGACATCCATTTATGAAGCTCTGTAGTTTCCTTGTTGCTGATGTTGTGAGCGTCCATGTCTCTGAACCATACAGTAGAACAGTTTTCACGTTTGTTTTGAAGATCCTCAGCTTGGTGTTCAATCCCAGTTCCTTAGACATCCATATATTCCTGGGGATGATGAGTGCTGCTCTTGGGTTTTGGATTCTGACCTTGATATCTTCGTCTGTTCACCCTGCTTTGTTGATGACAATTCCCAGGTATGTGAAAGATTCAACATCCGCCAATGGTGCCCCTTGCAGTGTGATAGGAACGTCAGCTGCATTCATTCGAAGAACTTTCGTTTTATCCGAGCGAATATGGAGTCCAACACTACGGGAGAATGTCCTGAGGCGATCTGTTTTCTGTTGCATCTGGGCTCGACTGTGAAAGAAATGCCAAGTCGTCGGCAAAATCCAAGTCTTCCAACTGACTGGAAAGGGTCCACTGAATGCCATCCTGTTGTCCCGATGTTGTCTATCTCATTTTCCAATCCACTGCTAATAAAAAGAGAGAAGGCGATAGCCGGCATCCCTGTCTCACTCCTGTTTTCCCTTCAAACAAGTCTGTCCGCTGCCCTCCAAGTAAGACACTGCAGTTCATCCCCTCATACATCTTCTTGATCAATCTGACGAACTTGTCGGGTATTCCGTAGAGGCGCATGAGCTCCCATATGGAGTCCCTATCTAGGCTGTCAAAAACTTTCTCGTAGTCAACAAAGTTAACGTACAGGGAAGAGTTCCACTTTCTGGACTGCTCCACTATTATCCTCAAAGTTGCAATCTGATCTGCATATGATCTCTTTTTACGAATTTCTGCTTGCTCCTCTCTTAGTTTTGCATCCACGGCTTCCTTCAGTCTTTCCAGTATGGTACGACTTAAAATCTTCCCAGGAATTGACAGGAGCATGATTCCTCTGTAGTTTTTACTCACATGCAGGTCTCCTTTCTTGAGTAGTTTCACAAGCAATCCTTCTCTCCAATCCTGTGGAAATTCTTGGCCGTCCCATATCTTGCCAATAATTCCAAGAAGAGTCCTTGCCGCAGTGTCGATATCCGCCTTGAGAACTTCAGGGGGAATTCCATCTGGGCCAGCCGCCTTGTCTGCTTTCTGGTGTCTTATCGCCTCCTTGATCTCTTCTAAACTGGGCTTTTCTTCACTCACCCCCAGATCAATCGCTGGTGGTGGAATGTCAAACTGTTTTTCTGGCCTATTTTCTCGATTATTTGGCGGCTGAACATACAACACGAATTCAGAATGCATATTGTTTTCATTCACAAACGAGTTCTGCCTCCTCGAATAAGCAATTTTGTTTATTATGTTCTTATTCTTGGAAAGCTTTTCGTGTATGGCCTCATCTCTCTCTGTCTTTTTTTAAAGACAGGGTTGGGGGGGGGGGGGGGATGTCTCACTTTGATCCGCCTGCCAAACAAGTCAGCTTTCACCACTGCAATTCAACATTACGTGTAACCTGACCGGACCTTAGTACAAGCACGGCTCGTTTAAAACAAGAAAGCGATTGTGAGACAATTGTGTTATTATAGCATCGTATCAGCTCAACACAATCTCTCTCTCCCCCCCCCCTCTCTCTCTCTCTCTCTCTCTCTCTCTCTCTCTCTCCCTCTCTCTCTATCTCTATCTCTCTCTCTCTCTCTCTCTCTCTCTCTCTCTCTCTCTCTCTCTCTCTGTGACTCTCTCTCTCACTCTCCCCCCTCTCTCTCTCTTTCTCCGATCTCCCCCACCCCCCTCTTTCTTTCCCCTCTATTATTTTCTCTCTCTGCCCCCCCCCCCCCTCTCGCTCTCCCTCTCCCTCTCTCTGACCCACCCCCCGGTCTCCCTTAATTTTCACACTCTATATAGGCTATCGTTCCTTTCCCTTTCTCACTCATTCACTCACTTCCTTTGCGTTCATACCATACCTACACTTTGACCTACACTCACACACAAAAAAACTACTATTGTCTGTAAAATTATAGTATGGTCAAAAATTCGTGGCGCTTGTCAAATATTTCTTTAACTATCTAACATAAAGTCTCCAGCTTTTGCACAATTACTAATTGTGTCAATTTGTCTTAATAAATCTTTATTTTTGTAAACATCTGCAGCTGTAGCTGTAGGCCTATTCTAGAAAATTCCTTTATTATAACTTATTATATATTGAACATCCCAAGGGGTGGTTTCTAATACATATATAAAATATTATTATATAAAAAAAGCTTTACATCTCGGACAATATTGCCATTTTTTTTTCTAATCTCGACATTATTGTGCTTAGTGAACGCATGTTTTAGGAACCTTTAGTGCAAAAAAAAAGTGTTCACCATTAAACTATATAACAACTTTTGTCACTAAAAAGTGTCATTGGTGAGCAATGGCTTAGGATAATATTCGTGTATGGCGTGAGAAACAGTGAAGTGCTGTAAACAATCTCATTTTCCGCAAGACGGATGTTAATTTGTACAGTATTTAAAATAAATTTATGATTAAAAGTTTGTTTAAATCTAGCCTCAATTTCTATGGAAAAATATGTAAAGTTAAGACAAATCGATAGAAACTGCTGTACAAAGTAATTTGAGGATAAGTTGCATCTTGAATTTTTGACTGCACTGCTATAAGGCCTACTTGATTTGCTGGTTTGAAAGTCATTTATGGGGCATTCATTCTTTTTTAATTCTTGCCCTTTGCAAAGGCTGTCATTAGTCATTAGATAGACTTGATTCCTCGTTGGTTCCGCCAGTCAGTCATTTGTAGACCCAATGCAATCTGTTGGGAATTTTATCTTGAGGACTTTGAAAAGTGTTTTTTTTTAATGCCACATGCCCCCCCCCCCACCCCCGGAGCAAAATGAATGAATGAATTATGAAAAAAAAAGAAGACATAAGTAATTAAATACATAAAACAGATCTACATCTATAAAAATTTCTTATTTAAAAAAAGAGAAGTAAAAGCGATTTAATTAAGTAAATCATTATTAAAACAATGTCAACTCAACGTGCCACATACATTAAGGCGATGATCTCGAATTATTTTGAATCGGGGAAAAATGGCCTTCCAACTTCAGAATACACCATACTCATTGGTTTGTACAGAGAAAAATAAAAAGAAACAAAAGAAACAAACAAATACAAAGAAAAAAACAAACAGGTAATGAAAAAAAGACCCCCAAATTATTCAGGTTTGGGACGAAGAGCACTGCTTTGAAAAAGGAACGGTGAGTTTCGTAAATTAGTACAAGTATAATTTAGAGGTCCTTGACACGGTAAATTTGGTCTTTCCGACCACTCCCCCTGTTTATTTCCGTTTTACTTCCTCTTTTTCTTTCGTGCATGCATTATGCATTGGTGTGTAACCAAAGACTCTGGTCTCTGACGCAACTCGACAGCCTGACTTGTCCAGTTTCCATTACCACATTCATTCGTTCACAGAATTTCATTTAGGCTATAGAGCTTCAAGTTCAAGTTTAGGATAGCAAAATAGCTCTCATATTTCTGGCACCCCGTTTTGTTTCTGAAGGTAGACTTTGAAATGGTTTTGAAAGTCAACGAGGCAGTGTAAAAAAGTGCTTTTGTTTGTTTGTTTGTTTGTTTACAGTTTGTTCGTTATTTTTTTAAAGAAGTAACTCAAAAGTCAAAAGCATGCGCCAACTGTAATACTGTTCACACAGAGTTAAGTTTTGATTGTTGTAGCATGGTGCTCGCATGACTTTTATATTTGATTATAAACTATTCAATCTGAAATTGTTGTCTGTTGCCTGTTGCGTAGTAAAAGTATTTGGCAATCTACGTTTTTTTTTTGCCCCAAAGAGTAATGAAATATATGGGTTAGGGGTAGGGCCTAGGGCAGGAGTAGATCTAGGGGTAGGATTGCAAGATTGTAGGATAGTGTAGCGAAGTAAATGTAATTGTTGGGGCCAAAACCAGATTATCCAGTATAATTATAATTTATTTAATTCAAAGGCAAAGGTGATAAATACTAGTTATAATTGTTATTTATAGATTTGTAGTAGGCCTTAACAAATGGGAAATGGTATATATATGTATAGAATAACCCATGTCTCGCCATTCTCACCCCCTCGTTTTACCGGAAATGACCCTAGAGGGATCAGGGCTGAGCAGTAATGAGCAGGTTACCGGAATTACCTGGGGGGGAGGGGGGGGGGGGGGA